CTAATTCTTCCCATTTCTGCTTGCGGCTTTCCAGCAGCCGCATCCCAGCTGTTCGAATCCACTCTTGTAGCTCCGCCCCTGCCTAGCTCCACCCCTTACCCCAGCTTAGGGCTCCGTCCACTTTAACCCTAGTTAGGTCCTCGGTGTTCCAACCCCATGGTCTGGCTGAGCTCTTCCCCAGGGCTCTGTCCCGTCCTTAGCTCCACCCGCCCTGAGCCCCAGCGAGCCTGCGGGGTGACCCGACCCTGGCCCTGCTTTCTCCTCCCGGGTCTGCAGGGAGACGCTCCTGCGGCTTCAGCTGGAGAACAAGCGACTGTGCCGGCAGGAGGCGGCCGACCGCGAGCGGCAGGAGGAGCTGCAGCGCCACCTGGAGGAGGCGAACCGCGCACGCCACGGGTTGGAGACGCAGCACCGGTGAGAGCGCCTGGGGACCTACCTGCGCAGAGCAGGGACAGAGGGGGCCGAAAGTGGGCGAAGGCACTAAGCGGCCCCCCACCCTTGCAGGCTGAACCAGCAGCAGCTATCTGAGCTGTGGGCCCAGGTGGAGGACCTTCAGAAAGCCCTGCAGGAGCAGGGGGGCAAGACTGAAGACGTGAGTGTCACCCACCACCTCCCTGCCTGGCCCTCCCTCATGCCCCGAAGTAACCCTCCTCTCTCTCCCATGCTGCCCGATGCCCCATACAGGCCATTGTAAGTACCATGGGCCCAGGGTGGCACCCCCTACCCTCACCCTGGGAAGGAGGAATTAGGCCCTTTCTGGACCCCCCACTCACCTTGCCTCTTCTCTCCCCCAGTCCGTCTTGCTAAAAAGAAAGCTGGAGGAACATTTGTAAGTCGCAGAAAGAGGGCACTCTTGGTGGGGGCATGGATTTGACATTAGTGGGGAGTTTCTTAGGCATGTGCCACCATGCCTGGTTAATTTTTTATAATTTTAGTAGAGACGGGGTTTCACCATGTTGGCCAGGCTGGTCTTGGACTCCTGACCCCAGATGATTCACCCGCTTTGGCCTCCCAAAGTACAGGGATTACAGGCATGAGCCACTGCGCCTGGCCTTCTTTCTTTTCTTTTACCTGTCTGCTATTGAAGAGATTTGTATTCTAGAAAGATCCCTGGTTGCTAGATGGAGTGGTTGAGAGTAGAAGAAGCTAGCAAGGGACGATGGTGGCTGGACCAACTTGGGAGCTTTGGGATGGGCGAAGTGGACAGCAGGGGGCTCTTCCACAGGATACCTGCTAAGGGTGCGAAGGATTGTGACTGATGGCTAGGAGATGGTGGGATCAGGGCACACAGCCCCCAGGCATGAGGGGCAGGCAGAGAGGGCTCTGTGGCCATGTAGGGGCATTTCTGGCTGGCGGGGAGGTCTGTGGCTACCACTGGGACGAAACAGAAGCCAGCTCGGAGGTCAGCCCACTGCTGCTCATCCCTGCCCACAGGCAGAAGCTTCATGAGGCAGATCTGGAGTTGCAGAGGAAGCGGGAGTACATTGAGGAGCTGGAGCCACCCACTGACAGCAGCAGTAAGTGGGACCTGGTGACCAGGGGGTGGGGAGATCCCAGAGCCCATCATCGTGAAGCTGATGGGCCACCTCTTCCACCAGCAGCCCGACGGATCGAGGAGTTGCAGCATAACCTGCAGAAGAAGGACGCGGACTTGCGGGCCATGGAGGAGCGATACCGCCGCTACGTGGACAAGGCCCGCATGGTGAGGACACTGGGTGTTCCCACAAGTTGCCTGCCCTGGCTCCCGCCTTTTTGTGCCTCCTATTGAGCCAAACCTCCTGCTTGCACATCTGTGCCCCAGTTCACACCTGTCATACCCCACCATGTGACAGACTTCTGCAATGATTCCCCACTGCTACTGATTGTCACATTAAAGTACTGCACAGCCGGCCAGGCGCCGTGGCTCACACCTGTAATTCCAACACTTTGGGAGGCCAAGGCAGGCAGAACACAAGGTCAGGAGTTTGAAACCAGCCTGGTCAACGTGGTGAAACCCCGTCTTCACTAAAAATACAAAAATTAGCTGGGCATGGTGGTGGGCACCTGTAATCTCAGCTACTCAGGAGGCTGAGGCAGGAGAATCGTTTGAACCTGGGAGGTGGAGGTTGCAGTTAGCTAAGATTGTGCCATTGCACTCCAGCCTAGGCGACAGGGCGAGAGTCCGTCTGAAAAAAAAAAA